AGATAAAACAATACAGACTTTTTCAGAAGTTTGGTGAACAGATAATAATCTACAAAAAATGTAACAGATTAATTCAGGGATAAATTCATCAGTAAAGTCGTCCACTGAGGATTTCAAGTGACTCGGATCTTCTGGACTGGTGCGGTCCAGACAGATTTTCTTCTTTAGGTTAAACTCACAGGTTGTTTAGCTGTCTGGTAGTTTCAGTATGGAGAGATGCTCCATTATACATAAATGGTGACGCAGTGTGGAAGCAGGCCGCACATCCTCGCCAATGGGGAAGCATGGAGAGAGGAAATGCTGCCATCTAGTGGCTGTGAATGAAACCACATCAGCCTGGATTGCAAGACCCTATTTACTAAAGTCCATCTGTTGATGTCCAGTTTTTTTTTTAACCATCCTCTGGGCCTTCACCAGAGGTCAGTTTCTGACCACAGACACACTGTGGGTGTCACAAGGTGGGTGTTTCTAATAAAGTGGCCAGTTAGTGAAAGCACAAGGTAGGTGTTTCTAATAAAGCAGCCAGTGATTGGAAACACAAGGTGGGTGTTTCTTATAAAGTGGCCAGTTAGTGGAAGTACAAGGTAGGTGTTTCTAATAAAGTGGCCAGTGAGTGGAAACACAAGGTGGGTGTTTCTAATAAAGTGGCCAGTGAGTGGAAGCACAAGGTGGGCGTTTCTAATAAGGTGGCCAGTAAGTGGAAGCACAAAGTAGGTGTTTCTAATAAAGTGGCCAGTAAGTGGAAGCACAAAGTAGGTGTTTCTAATAAAGTGGCCAGTCAGTGTATATAACTGGCACTAAAATACTAAAATTAGCTTGTCTCTATAGCAGGGGTTAGGGTTAGTGTGTAAATTTATGGATGCATTGATGATGTCCAGCCTCACTATGGGTTATTTATGAGGACCAGGGTGTCCCTTTTGGGGTTGTTACTATGGAGACGTCCATAGAGGGAGAACTGCCCCAGTACAGCTCCTACTGAGTCAGGGCATTATTGACAAACACACACACACACATCTCCACACAAAGAACTCATTTATATCGGAGAGAGAGCCGAGGCCTGGTGGTTTCAGCTCATGCGCAGCCTGACGGATGAGAAAATGAAGATTATGATTTTTCTGATCATAAGCAAATGAAATAAGAATTGAACTGAATGTCTTGAGCAGTTCAAACAAAACAACATTATTTTTCTGCATAAATCAGTGTCTATAATAACTCAGAGTGGTTTGGTGTGAAACGCTCAGTTCTAGAGAAACTTACTGAGTCAGAACTGTTCACAGTGGTGGTGATAGGAACCAGACGTCCACCTCTAAAAGCCCCCTCACAGAAAGTTACTACATGAAATGGTTATGAATTCACTGCCTGATGACTGAGACACTGTTTTATGATAGTCTTCTTATCTCAAAATGAATATTTCCCTTATTGATAAACTCTGAATGGTTAATTTGCAGCAGTGCAAACCCTGTTTAAAGCTTAAATCTGTCCCCGGAGGGCAGGTGCAGTCTGGTAGCGTCCAAAATGTCACAAAAATGGCTTTTAAACAGCAGCCTGATCGCCAGCTGACGTCACAGAGAAACTTGAAGACACGCAGTAATGACAGCATAACTTTGACGCTGAGGCTGTCAGGTACATCACTCTTATTTGGTAATAATTAAGCAGTAGAACCCGAGAGGGAGTGTGTTATTGCGAAATAACACACTCCTCGAGTGTTCTACTGCTTTAATACAACAGTTAAATAAGTACAGTAATAAATTAATAAACTGGGCCGTGAACGCGGCGTTTAATATGTTTTAATGTTCGCAGTTCCTTCACCAAATTATAGTTCCTTAACGAGCAGCTTGTTGTTACGTCAGAGTAACGAGCTCCGCCCACTCGCTGCACAGCCGGCAGTTCGTTCTCCAGCTCCTTACACTAAATTCCCAAACTGTCATCACCACTGAGCAGCTTTTCAGTCGGCAGCTGTGACAGAAGAACAGCTGAACAACCTGGAATCAGCCAGAAATGAACCCAACACCATTCGCCAAACGTGTAGTCTGATCTTCAGAGTCTGACCAAATCAGACTGAGCCATAAAACTGCCGCAATATCAGGTTCAGCTCAGTTTTGTGATTTTTTGCCAGATCAGTATTAATGTTGTTTTGTTCCAGCCAGTCTGTAAAGCATCTTACAGCCCATTTAGTTTGGCGAATGGTGTTGGGTTCATTTCCGGCTGATTCCAGGTTGTTCAGCTGTTCTTCTGTCTCAGCTGCCGACTGAAAAGCTGCTCAGTGGTGACAGTTTGGGAATTTAGTGTCGTCTCATCTTCAGAGTCTGACCAAATCGGCTGTCGGTCAAATGTGATCTTAAAAGTGTCCGTTTTCTGTTTGTGACAAAGTAAGAAGTAAAAACGTTCAGATGTCTTGAGCGTCTCTTACAGCTGTCAGAGTCGTTGCTTAGCAACGGCGTCTCTGTGGAGTGATAGTGTTTGTGAAAAACGGTGATGTTATGGTGAAATAACAGCACAGTTAGAACGCTTCTCAACCAATCAGCTCGCGTGGCCGGAACTGACTGTTGTACAAATATGCAATAACCTGCCACATTACAGAAGCCGTGTAGGAGGTTATTGATATCAACATGACGCACTTTGAGAGTCTTGAATTTGTGAACACGTGACGAAGCTCCATGGCGTTTTACGTTGGTGTAGAGTTACCAAAATCACGTAAACATAAACACTGATGAGCCAGAACATTCAAACCACCGCCGTGTATCTATACTCACTGTCCAGCATCCAACTCTCATTTTACATGTGGGTATTTTAGGCCTTTAGATTAAAAATGTCATTTTTTATATAAAACTAGTTTTACATGTCTGAGATTGAGACGTGGGGACATCTATAATGCCATTATAAATCGAGTGTGAATGATTGACAGGTCAATCAGTAGACAGATAAATGAATAATGACCTGGTTTAGGGCCCGATCATATGGAAGTGCTGCGATAATTAATCCATAATTCTGCTAAATATCCACTTTAAACCTCATAAAACTGTCCATCACTGAAATATGTGAGAAAGACACCAGCAGCATATTAAACACACTTAGACAGAAGGTTCTTCGAGGGTTCTTTAGTAAAGGGAATGGTTCTGTTTAGTACCATGAGTGCTATATAGAACCATTTCATGCTTGAATGGCTCTCCGCAGGGAGAATGCGTTGTCTGTGGTTCTATATATCAACAAAAAGGGTTTAGAACCCTTTTGGAGAATTTCTTATACATGGTTCTATGGTCCTTTGTGAAAATGGCTCTGAAATGGTACAGCACCAAAAAGGGTTCTGCTATTGTTATGATGTCAAGCTGGTAACCCTTTTAGGTGCAGAAAAAAACCCAACAAATTCAGGGTTCTTTAGTAAAAGGAATGGTTCTGTTTAGTAGCATGAGTTCTATATAGAACCATTTTATGCTTAAATGGTTCTCTGCATAGAGAAATGGTTCTTCAGCCTGATAGAGTATGTGTTCTGTATAGCACCGAAAAGGGTTCTGCTACTGGTTATAATGTCACCCTTTTTGGTGACATTATATTGATCTAGAACCTTTTTTGAGAATGAGTCGTACTGTGGTCCTATTTGAAAATGGTTCTATATAGCACCAAAAAGGGTTCTGCTATTGTTACAATGTCAAGTTTGTAACCCTTTTAGGTGCAAAAAATAAACCAACACATTTAGGGTTCTTTAGTGAAGGGAATGTTTCTGTTTAGTACCATAAGTTCTGTATAGAACAATTTTATGCTAAAACGGTTCTCTGCGTGCAGAAATGGTTCTGCATGGAGAATGTGTTGTCTATAGTTCTGTAAAGCACCAAATAGGGTTTCTGCTATTGTTATAGTATCACTCTTTTTGTTGCTACATAGAACCCTTTTTGAGAAGGTCCTGTTCATGGTTCTATGGTTCTTTGTGAAAATGGTTCTATATAGCACCAAAATGGGTTCTGCTATTGTTACAATGTAACCAATTTTGGTACTATATAGAACCCTTTTTTGAGGATGTGTTGTATGCGGTTCTATAGTCTTATTTTGAGTTTGTAACCCTTTTTGATGCAAATAAAAACCATTGTGTTCCTTAGTAAATGGAATGGAATGGCTCTTATATATGCTTAAATGGTTCTTTGTATGGCAAAATGGTTCTTCAGATTGATGGGAGTGTATATACATACCATCAAAACCATTACTCTGTTGTGATGATGTTAAGCTTGTAACCCTTTTTGGTGCTACATGGAACCATTTTTGAAAATGTGTTGTATATGGTTCTATGGTCTTATTTTGAAAGTGGTTCTATACAGCACCACAAAGTGTACTGCTAGTGTTACGAGGTCAAGTTTAGTACCCTTTTTGGTGCAAATAAAAAAAAAAAACACATTCAGTGTTCTTTATTAAAGGGAATGGTTCTATATAGAACCATTCCATGCTTAAATGGTTCTGTGCATGGTAAAATGGTTCTTCAGATTGATGGAGTGCATATACGTACCACCAAAAGCGTTCTTCTGTTGTTATAATGTTAAGCTTGTAAGCCTTTTCGTTGCTTTATAGAACCATTTTTGAAAATGTGTGGTATATGGTTCTATGGTCTTACTTTGAAAAAGGTTCTGCATAGCACCAAAAAGGGTTACATTGTTGTTACAATGCCAAGTCTGGTTCCCCTTTTTGGTGCAGATATAAAATATTCAGTGTTCTTTAGTAAAGGGAATGGTTCTATATAGAACCATTCCATGCTTAAATGGTTCCGTGCATGGTGAAATGGTTCTAGACTGATGGGGTACATATATGTCAAAACGTGTTCTTCTGTTGTTATGATGTCAAGCTTGTAGCCCTTTTTGGTGCTGCATAGAAGCATATACAACACATTCTCCATCCATTTGAAGAACCATTTCACCATGCAGAGAACCCTTTTAATGAAACAGAACCGTCCCCTTTACTAAAGAACTCATTTTTGTCAATAAACGTTGGATTTGAAATAATAATGAAAACACGAAGCGTCACTTTTCATCATCTTTACTTCTCACTGAAACAGGAAAGTAGAAATAATACAACTGAAATGGTGAAGACACACACACACACACACACACACACACACACACACACACACACACGCACACACACACACACACACACACACGCACACACGCACACACACACACACACACACACACACACACACACACACACTCTCTCTCTCTCTTTAGTCAAAAACACCTCGATCCTCCACAAAAATAAAGCTTTCGTTCATTTTTACATCGTCTACATTCCCTGAACTGGAGCTCGTCCACAGAGTCCGGCGTGAGCTTCACCCTCGTTTCGATGGGCTGAACCGAAGGCTCCCCTCGCTCTTCAGCACCGGCCCGAACATCACACGAGCCGCCCGGTTTCAGAAGCCCAGCCCGTCCCGTTTCACTGACACTGAGACCATGATGAGCAGGGACAGCGGAAGTGGTCACTGGCATCAACAGAATCACTTCTGTGTTCGACTCCTTCATCAGCAGAGGTGGATTAGAGCTCTACACGCTGAACTGAACACTCAGTCGAAACTCCAGAGTTATTGCTCGCTTGGTTTCTTCATACTGCATAATGATCCGGAGGAATCCGTCACGTTTTTACACCAGGAAAAAAAATAATAATAATAAATATGAAGGTACATCAGGCTCATAGTAACTGATTGCACTTAAATCTTTGCTCAAAAGTCCCCAACATCCGATCCGTATCGCGCGCAGAACGCCTCTGTGATCAGGTGAAGAGTGGATTATACGTGGGAAGCAATGCACGAGGAATAAAGTACAAAAACAAGAGTCCGCAACAGTGGAAAAAGCACTCGGCTGTAAAACACAAAGGCAATCACAGATTGCAAATCTTCAAGGCCGCCGCAAAAATGTCCTCCATTCTTCATCCAGCTTTGACTCTTTAATACTTCACGCTGCTGCCTCGGGCTAAACCGAAGCGTTAGACTGGAATTACATGAATTTTTATCAACATTTCTGCATAATTAAATGGTTCAGATGTAAACAGGGTCATTCAGAGTGGTCGGAATTGTCCCACCTCTAAAAGCTCCCTCATTGAAAGTCATTACATGATGAGAACTCACACTCCATTCATGGTGGAGGGATACATGCAGGGCGCTGTGAGGCAAAATAGTCCCCAATAAATCTTATTATTTCAGATTTCCACTATTTTCCATATAAACTCAGAAGACTCGTGTAGGTTCACTGGTGGTTCTGGATAGTAAATAAAATGTCTATATTTGTGTTGTAGTCATGGCGACCCCTGGTTCCTATCACCACCACTGTAAAGACATCTGAACCATTTCAGACCAAACCTCTCTGAATCACTCTGTTTACATCTCACACACTGAGTTATGCAGGAATTTTAGAAATATTGGTGGAATTCCCCTTCAATGTAAATGGGCCTGTATGACAATTTTCCATCAATGGATTTAAGCAGGCATCTGGTTTCTGGGCCAAAGTGCAGTGGAGATCAGCGTCTACCTTGTCCAACAATCTGAAATCAGCTCATAAAGGCCTAATTAGCTGATGGGCTGAATCAGGTGTGTTTAATGAGGCAGTGAGCTGAAGTCTGCAGTGCTTTGGACCACGAGGACTCGATCCTGACACACGTGGACTAGAGACGGCTCATACAAACACGCTAATGTGGCTAACAGAAGCTGTTCGTAGATCAGGTTTAATAACTGGTAGGTTTTGGATAAACCATCTCTTTCCCAGTGCCAGTGGAGTTCCAGACCTGGGCCAGTAACATACTTCACGCAAGCACGCGAGCGCAGACACGGCTGTGTTCAAAAATGTGTCATGATGTGAATCATAACGCAATGCCAGTGTGAGCTAATTCCAAGTGTTACAGCCAGGGGGCGCTGTGACGACAGCCAAGCCATATCGCACAAAAATGCTTACATAAACGTATGTGATACATTATCGCATTTCCATTCCAGCAGAGCTGGTAAAGCAGATCGTGTCTTCCACCGTCCACTTTAGCTGTTGGATTAACAGTAGGTCCCTCTCTGATTTGTCCTCTAGCGCCCCCTTGAGTACTGAGTGTTTAAACCGCCACAGTAACCCTGCATTCCCACCAGCAGCGACTTTTCGCCTCTTGTCGTCCAAATCGCTGATCGCTCATCGCCTGAGGGTGTTTCTGAACTCGAGCGACCGTTGGTTGCCATGGTTCGACACAAATCAGATGCGTTTTCCCGCTAAAATTAAAATTAGAAATCACTTGTGTGCTTATTTGTATTTAATCACTGTCTGTGCAGGCAGTTTGTGAGGAAAGCAGTATTTGGTCTTTGCGATTTCTGCCTATTCATGGCGCCTCCATTATTCCATCTCTAGTAGGAATCTTAACCCATTCATTTTGGACTTGCTCGGGAGCGCCCTCTAGTGTTTGAGAACCCCAGAAGACATTACAGAGTGGGAATTCTCCTCTTTACAAGATCTCTGGCTCAATGCTCAGTTCCTATTGGTGATAGCCACGTCACTTCGCTCCTTATTTGCATGAAGTTAAACTCCGCTCTACTTTGTGGCATCATTGACTCCGCCTACTTTGTGTCGCAGATGTTCGCGCTGCCTCCTGTCGGCGGAAATCGGCAGCTCTCGTTGAAAATAAACGAACTCTGGCCGCGTTGATGGTGTGAACGCAGGGTCAGGGCCGTGTGCTTGCAATGCGTATGTTTCTGGCTTTAGGCCTGCTTTGCTTATGAGAACCTGACATTATACATAATATTTCAAATGACTAATATCGCTACACCAACACTGAGTGTACACGTCTTCCTGCCTCGTTGGCAAGCAGGAGAACCAGCCGTGTTGGTTCTCCAGCTAATTAGCTAATACTCCGTGTGGTACCTCTCTCTCCTCTTTGGATGGTGGACATTTCCACGCAGCCTTGAAACGTCTTTCCCTTTCATTTAGCAAAACAAGAAAACAGAAATAAAGAATCACACCACCTCGTCTGGTCTGAGGCGCTCAGACCTGGACGCTAGGGATGCACGATGATATCGGAATCATTTCGGTACTGGCTAGTAATCGTTTCAAAAAAATCTATCGCATATACTGTCCATTTGGCTGATATCTGACAGAGGAGAATGTCAGTTTTCTGTTAAAGGGTCTCCATCCTACTGTTTCACCCGGGCGTCCACACACGACGTGGGTTCATGACTCAGAAACTGCTGCGATTCTTTTATACACAGCCTCTCTTTATCCATTAAAGAGCCCATATCACTGAAAATCAGTGGGGTTTTTTTAAGAGAACTGTTTGATGTCGTATGTAAACACTGTAAAACTTTCAAAACACATGAAAAAACTAAGCAGCTCCTTTTTAAATTCTTTGTTTTTGCGATGTCACAAAAAAACAACACATTTATACACACATCCGCTTAGGCTACAGCAGTTTAGCTCCGCCCACTCACTAAGAAGTTAGGAGTGTTTCAGCTGGGATTGCTGTTTGGGGCACAGCCAATCAGACGGAGCTCATTTGCATACATCAGTCTTAAAGGCGCAGTAACAGGTTCTGTTTATATAAACCCAATCAAAGTGTAGAATATTTAAATTAACCTCTTATGCTCGTAGGTATATTTTCGTGCCCAAATCATAAGGCAAATTTTTCAGTAACTGCATGAAATAAATGTATATTTTTGGGGTTTATTTGTAAAAGTTCCCCTCAAATTAGCAGAAAAAGTGTTTTATGATGATAAACATAAAGCTATATGCTTACAATTTACTGTCGAAAGCCGAAAATCTTAGGCGCTCCAAGTATTTTTTTATAAAAATATTTTTTTTACAGTGCAGATCACTGAAGAGACGCCGTCTGAGATCCAGTTTGAAGCTCAGATTGTGGAAAAATGGGTCGACTTTCAGTAGAAAAAAAATGTGAGTTCAGCTTCTTTTATTATAAGGGTTTAAAATTACATCACCCATCTATTTGACTGGAAAGAAGACAGTTACAGCTCTCATATGAATGTAGCTTATGAAATATGAAAATTATGAAGAATATGATGAAGAGCTTTTTGGAAGTTAAAGAGGTTGAAGAGTCTATTTCTGTCACTTCCTTTAAAACTGATATGTAAATGAGGCCTGTTCTGATTGCCCTGTACTCAAAAAGCAGGTTGAAACACACTCCTTATAACTTCGACATGAATGGGCGGAGCTAAGCTGTAGGCCGAATAGGCATATATATGTAAAAGCGTTGTGACGTCACAAAAACATGCACTCGAAACAGGCTGTGTTTCCAGCTTATTTTCTGTAAATGCACTGTATGGACTGAAAACGTACTGTAACCAAGAAAAACGCGCTTTTCCCTGATATGGGCTCTTTAAACGTACTGCATTTGTGACCCTCTGCTAATTAGTGCTACATCTCTCACTAATGCTAATCCAGGTGGATCCCATTTTCTCGTGGATCCTGTTCTCTAAATGTGCGCGTCAGCATCAAAAAAAAGACATATTTCCTAGAAAAAATCCCAGAATTCCCATATCGGTGCATCCCTACCCCGAATCGCCAGCACTCACTCAAACATTCAGGCAAATTCACTCCTGAATTCAGTTCAATCTGCGCTACATAGTGTCCCACTCTGGCCACAGCGCAACAAGCAACACCAGCACTGACAGTGCAGGGACGAGTGAGGAGGATGATGAAGGTGGTGAGAGTGGTGATGAAGGCCAGGGTTGTTTTTTTTTTCTTTTTTTTTTGTCCGTTTTGGAGGTGCTGTCCACTTGGCACACTGTCCACTCGGTCCGTCCTCTTTCTCGAGAAGCGAACGTGAGAGTGAAAGTTCGACAGAAGCGCCTCGTTCCTCTCTGAGCGCTCGACACTGAGGGTCCAAAGTTGGCGAGATGTCCGAGTTGCCGTTCGTCGGACTCTCTAATCGCTGTGAGGCTTCTCAGCCGAACCCTGAGGAGGAAGAAGAAGAGATGGTTAAGAAAATGAACGATATCTTTCATTATACAACAGTCAGTTCCGGCCAGGCGAGCTGATTGGTTGAGAAGCGTTCTAACTGTGCTGTTATTTCACCATAACATCACAGGTTTTTCACAAACACTATCACTCCACAGAGACGCCGTTGCTAAGCAACGACTCTGACAGCTGTAGGAGACGCTCAAGACATTTGAACGTTTTTACTTCTTACTTTGCCACAAACAGAAAACGGACACTTTTAAGATCACATTTGACCGACAGCCGATTTGGTCAGACTCTGAAGATGAGACGACACTAAATTCCCAAACTGTCATCACCACTGAGCAGCTTTTCAGTCGGCAGCTGTGACAGAAGAACAGCTAAACAACCTGGAATCAGCCGGAAATGAACCCAACACCATTCGCCAAACTAAATGGGCTGTAAGATGCTTTACAGACTGGCTGTAACAAAACAACATTAATACTGATCTGGCAAAAACTGACAAAACTGAGCTGAACTTGATATTGTGGCAGTTTTATGGCTCAGTCTGATTTGGTCAGACTCTGAAGATCAGACTACACGTTTGGCGAATGGTGTTGGGTTCATTTCTGGCTGATTCCAGGTTGTTCAGCTGTTCTTCTGTCTCAGCTGCCGACTGAAAAGCTGCTCAGTGGTGATGACAGTTTGGGAGTTTAGTGTGAGGAGCTGGAGAACGAACTGCCGGCTGTACAGCGAGTGGGCGGAGCTCGTTACTCTGACGTAACAACAAGCTGCTCGTTAAGGAACTATAATTTGGTGAAGGAACTGCGAACATTAAAACATATTAAACGCCGCGTTCACAGCCCAGTTTATTAATTTATTACTGTATTTATTTAACTGTTGTATTAAAGCAATAGAACACTCGAGGAGTGTGTTATCGCCAATAACATCACGGCTCTGATGATCTACGGCGACCAAATCACAGCCGTGATTACACACTCCCTCTCAAGTTCTAGTGCTTAACCGTCCAGCCACAGGAAAGTGAGCAGAAGCTATATGGAGTAATTGGGACGGTGAGGGTCTTCAGAGTGAAACCTGATGACGGCCAGGAGAGGGGGTCCGTCTGCTGCTCCAAATAAAGACAGACGGCTTGTCCATAAATGGCTTTATATAGAACTCAAGTGCTCACAATGGAGTGATGTGAATGAGCCCATTAAACCGTTATATGTGAAACAGTAAGATTTGGTCCAAAGCTGAAGATCATTTGGCTCAAGGGTGAGTTTTTATCACTTCATTAATCAGATTCTTAGTCCCCTCCACTTTAGCCCAGGGGTCAGAACCATGCAGCTCCGGAGACACATGCAGCTCTTTTACTGTCCTGTTGCTGCCAACGAACACCAGTCGCATCACAGGAGCCATCATGAAGCTTCACTGACTGACAGCTGGGCTCATCACCCAGAATGTGTTTGAGCCGTAAAAAGGGCGCGGCCACTTCTTCGGTTTGCGTCCTCGGATTCTTTAAACTGCTTTCAGACTTTTAACTGTTCTTTGACGCTGCAGCCTCGTTCTCCTGCGGCCGCGCTCGGACATTTCTTGCGTGAACTCCAATCTGGCTGTTCAGACTGAGTCACATCGCCGTGTATCGGATACGTATCAGATTTCAGTACCACATACAAAAGCATCTCTAATCAGAATTGAAAACGTCAGATTCAGTGTGTTCATCTGTTCACACTGACACACATCTGTGTCACGTATGAAGAAAAGGATCAGATTTGGGCCACTTTTACCTGCTGTGTGAACAAAGCCTGAACCCACTAAAACTCCCTCTTCAGAAATCTAATGCTGGACGTGGTCAGAGAGAAAATCTGACATGCCCTTAATCTCTGAATGCCCATAAATCTGTGCCAACTACCCGAACAACAATAACACAGGCTGGTAAATGAAGCATCTGATTGGCTCGCTCCATCAGGCCATTAGCATGAAAAACAAAGGAGGTAATCAGCTTTTGGGCCTTTCACTGAGTCACTGAGGGGCTTTTTGGGGCCTCAAAAGCAACGTGCCTCTAAACAACGGCCCTTAATTAAGCTGTCTGCCGGACGTGTGAGCGTGGCTGGATACTCCTAATGCAAAAGAGCCCCGGTGGACAAGCAGTCCTGAGGACACTCGAGAAGAACTCGCTGTACGTCTTTCGAGGGCGCTGTGAGGAGAGCTGACGTCAGAGAACAGCAGCGGAGGCGGCCAAAGAGGCACGGATGCACGAGGAGAGAGGCTGGCTGCAGTTTCGCCTTCGTTTGCAAAGAGAAGAAAGAAAAAAGGAGGCCTCAGAACCAAAGACGTGATGTTTACGAGCCGTTTGTTGTGTCAAACTGAACTAAAGTGTGATAAACTGTAGGTTGTGAATACTGTGAGAGCGCCCCCTGCTGTTTATCAGCTCCCCAGCTTCAGTCTCCATTTCCCAAACGCTTTAGCCGAGCGCGCTAACGTTACTCCTCCTAATAAACAGACACACGTTCAGCTCCGTCTCCTCATTATTCACCACCATCACTGTAATATTTCATCATCAACATTAACACACGAAGGTAATAACAGTGTGGAAGAGAAAGAAACTGACCATCGCCAGCTGCCGTCCGATGTTGCCCACTGTCACTCCCCCGGAGAAGAAGATGCAGGGCAGCCAGGAGCGAACGGAGCGAACCTCCGGAGACGTGTACCTGAAAACGAGAAGCGAGAGAGCGAGCTGAGGAGGAGGCCGCTAGAGGAGCGTAACTGAAGAGACGTTTGGGGGAAAAAGTCTTAAATTTTCACTTCTGTTAAACCCAGTTATTCCAGGCGATAATAAAAGCATGTTTTATTCTGATATGAATTTCTCGAAAAGTTACTGTTGTGTATGTTGGGCATATTTTTAACCACTTGCTCATAGAAATGTAATTGTGACTCTATATGAAACTGTAAATAAATATGCAATTAATTACGTAATTACAGGGTATTGTGAGGCAAAATAGTGGCCGAAGAAAATGTATTATTTCAGATTTATCACAATTTTCCCATCAACAACATGGATAGTCTCTCTGAATCACTCTGTATACATCTTCCACACTCAGTTATGGAGGAATTTTGAAATATTGGTGGAATTCCCCTTCAAATCCATGTTGTTTCTGTTATGACCACCTAATGAAGGACTTATTTATCACCTACGCCGACAGTCATTACTCACTGATAGATGCCGTTGTAGACCAACAGCTGGGCGATGAGCGTGGCCAGAAGAGCGGTGGTCAGTCCCAGGCCGAAGCCGCTCCTCGACCGGTCAAACGTCCACCACAGCCCCAGGGACAGAGCGGCCAGCGTCAGAGAAAGCTGCATGTTATTGGCAAAGTCCAGTTTCTGAGAGATGGTTTGAGTTAAAGGAAAGCGGGCGTGTTCTGAGCGAGTTTCAGGAGAGCAAAAGCAAAAGTAAAAACAAGTAAATATAAAAACAATACAATATTAATTTAAAGAGATCATATTGTGGACATTAAGCTGCAAAAACAGCCTGTTTTGAATTTTTATCTTTGTGATGTCACAAAACCCAACTCAGTTCAGTTTATCCACCTAGTCAGCCTACAGCAGTTTAGCCCCACCGATTCACAGTGAACTTACTAAGGACTGCTTTAAGAATGAGGCGCAATACAGAGCGGCCAATCAGGACAGAGCTCATTTGCATATGTCAGTCTTAAAGGCACAGCATGTTTCGTTCTAAGGGATTAAGAGAGGTTGAAGAATGTTTACGTGAACACAAATTATGTCTGAAGACCACACAAACTTTATAAGCGCACCTTATGAAAAAATTTAAAAACGAGAAAAATAGTAGGATATTCACCCTTTAACGACATAATTTAATAAGCTGGAACAGACAGAATAGAAACTGTAGTGCCACAATTAAAAAACACTATAATAATAACAATAATATAGTGATTTTATTCAATGTTGCACAAACTGCGCTGCACTAAATCCAATTAAACAGGATTAATTATGCTCTCTGTGCATAAAAACGTAGTTAGTCAGTGTTCTTTAAGTACTGACTACACCAATGATAAGCTTAGAAAAGTGTATAGTGACATAATTTATCACGATAACGGTAAAATATCGTCATACTGCTCACCCAGACTGTTGACTACCACTTATTTCGTTCTCTTGAGGCTCTAAGAGTGTTTTAGTGGGTATAGTAATGGAGTCAGCTGTGATGCTGGTGTGGTAAGGATACAGCACTGGCGTGGTTGATGCCCACAAACACGGCGATGCAGCGCATCACACTGGCCCATTCCCTCTTGAACTTGTGTGGTTCTCCAAGATGGCTGTCCAAGCATGGATATAAGAGGCCGACCACAGCTGAGGAAACAGAAATCAGACACATTAGAAAGCTGCTCTGTATCTATATGAATAAATACACTGAATGGAGGGCTATGACCATTAAAGGGCTATTTGGGTGCAGATGTCATTGTATGGCCTATTCAGTGCGCTGTTTGGGTGTGTACAGTAGCCTTAAACAGTATTTGTACACCTTAATCTTTTAACTATTGGTGAATTTTGCTTGATGTTTTGACATAAGAGTTTGATGTAGTATGTAAACAATGTTAGTAACAAAACGTAGTGTTCATGCAGTTCGTATGCAATCAGCGTCTTTCACTCTGAAGTTATAAGAAGTGTTTCCGCCTGGTCTGCTTTTTGAGTGAGGTAGCCAACCGGAACAGAGCTCATTTACATATGTCAGTCATAAAGGCACAGCACAAAAATCCTTTTGTTTAAAGGAAAATGGTCATGGAAAAATTAATTATGACTGTTTTTGGTGCATAAACAGACACAAATGTCAACAATTGATCTCAGGGGAAAATAACATACAGGAAAAATGTGGATATATGATTTTATATGTTTTCCCTCTAAGTGATAATAATCATTAATATTTAAATTTAATTATGACTGTTTTTGGTACATAAACAGACAAAAATGTCAACAACTGACATCAGGAGAAAAATAAAATACAGGAAAAACGTGGATATATGCTTGTATATGTTCTCCCTCTTAACAGTTTTACTACCTAGATTATCAGTGATAATAATGACTAATATTGAAACCACTCAATGACTGTGTTTACATTTCAACCATTTAATTATGCCGAAATTTTGAAAAATCGGTGGACTTCCCCTTTGTACTGGACAGCCTTAAGGCTGAATGCCTGTAAACTCCAGTTCCCGCCCCGCGCCGTGTGGACTGGAATGCGGTGGGCGTGGCCTGACGACGCGAACGTTCTATTTTTTTGCTTAGATGAGTGGCATGTTCGGAGCGCCAGCCAATAGCGTGGCGCCCTGGCAGCTCACCCGTTCCTGAGCAGCCAATGAGAACGCAGCACGCTCAGGGCGAGCCCCTCCGGCTGTTGCCAGGCAACGCGAGCAGAGCAGCGGCCGATACGAGTCCAAAAACAAACTCAACCCTAAAGTCACAACTTCATATACTTACATAACGCAGCGCAGCCCGGATAGAGCGGAGAGAAAACGATGTAAACCAGCTTATTTACGCTTCGTCTGACTTCAACCAAAACATAAACGTCCTCTTTGTCTCACTAAACATGTTCCACATCCTATTATTCACTCCGGAGCCGCTAACTCGTTTAACTTCGGTTTGTTTTCTGAGAAATCTGGCCAATCTGGCTGTTAAACCCATTTCAGAGACGTTGTTATGCTTTAAACATTGATGAAATAAACATTTCACGGTCTGAAATTAGCTTTTCATTCGGAATTCCCGTTCCACCTTAAATGCTGCCGCACTTCCATGTGTACATCCGCACGTCTGTATAGGCGCTAAACTGTAACAGCTGCATATTTAAGGTGGAACGCAGAGATTCTCGTTATCATCGCTATGTAATGTGAAGTGAAACCGATTTTTTGTACAGAAAACTATGAAAACTGATCATATCAGTGAAATATAATACTGATATAATTCAGTATAATTCAATACTGATAGTATTAAGGTTAATTGTGGCCAGGTTTGCGTTTAAACTGAGCAAAAAAAAATTATGTGAGGTCTTAAAGTGGAATTCCTCCCATTTTTCAAAAATTCTGCATAATTAAATGCCTAAGTAATAAAAAAAAGTCCTCCAGAGTGGTTTGGTGTGAAACGCTCCGTTCTAGATAAACTTACCGAGTCAGAACTGTTCACAGTGGTGGTGATAGGAACCAGACGTCCACCTCTAAAAGCTCCCTCACAGAAAGTTCCTACATGAAATGGTTTTGAATTCACTGCCTGATGCCTGAGACACTGTTTTATGATAGTTTAGAGAAGGTTTTGGCCTTAAACTCCATTCATGGTGGAGGGATACATTGTACAGTGCGTTGTGAGGCAAAATAGTCCCCAAAGAAAACTTATTATGTTTATGTTATTATGTTTTGCCCATCATCAACATTCCATTCACTGGTGGTTTTGGATGGTAAATAAAATGTCTATATTTGTGTTGTAGTCATGGCGACCCCTGGTTCCTATCACCACCACTGTAAAGACATCTGAACCATTTCACACCAAACCACTCTGGATCACTCTGTTTACATCTTGGTGACTGAATTATGCATAAAATTTAAAAATTAATGGAGTTCCCCTTCACACTCACCAGCAGCCGTGCCACAGCTCAGCGGGATCCACCAGGAGGATGACAGCAGGGTGTCCAGCACCTCTTCGGGAAACAGCACCACGTTTCTCTTTATCTGCAGTAAGTAAAGCACCAGGGCGAGGAAAACGCCGACGGTGAACAGCACCACTCCACGGCGAACCAGGCCGGCGGAGTGGAGCCGGCGGAGAGAGCCGAGAGCCTGGCTCACAGCCCCGGCCACGGCGGACATCGCCTCCCGGGCTCTGGAGGCCGGCGGGAAACCTTTCGACTTCATGCCGGGGGAACAAGAGCAGCTCCAGCAACGGTCCTCCAGCTGCGGCATGGGGCACTGGACATACAAAGATATGAGGTAGTTACAAGTCAGCAAAGTGCAGTTTTAATGACCATGATATGAGACATAAAGTAGGAAACTACTTTAATGGACCAAATATGGACTGTAAGTAAATAAAAATTTTGCTGAGCAAAATATGAGCTGTAAGCTAGTAGACTGCAGTTTTAATGACCAAAATATGTACCAAATGTGGGCTGTAAGTCACAAAGTACAGCTTTACTGACCAAAACATGAGGTGGGGAACTCCACCAATTTTTCAAAATTTCTACACAATTAAATGGTTAACAAGTCAAGGAAGTCATTCAGAGTGGTTTGCTGTGAAACGCTCCGTTCTAGAGAAACTTACTGAATCAGAACTGTTCACAGTGGTGGTGATAGGAACCAGACGTCCACCTCTAAAAGCTCCCTCACAGAAAGTTGTGTCCCCAAAGAAAACTTTTCCACCATTTTACCATCATACACACTCAGATTAACGTTACACATGTAGGGTCACTGATGGTTTTGGATAGTAAATAAAAGGGTTAGGTTATATTTGTGTTGTAGTCATCTGAGTCTCTACAATCAACCATTTCACACCAAACCACTCCCAATGACTCTGTTTACATCACTCAATTATGCAGAAATTTTGAAAAAATGGTGGAATTCCCCTTTAACGGCCCAAATATGAGCTGTAAGAAAACTGCATCTTTACTGACCAAAACATGAGCTATTAGTCAGAAAACTGCAGCTTTAATGGCCCAAATATGGGCTGTAAGTCAAAAAGTGCAGCTTTACTGACCAAAACATGATCTTTAATTCAGTATATGAAGCTTTAATGAGTGAAATAATAAATATTACCTTGATTTCTTTGAAGTCTTCGCTGCCACTTCTGTTCTTCCTTCACAAATCTCGAAAAAATACAATTTCAGCTGCACTTTCCTCGTTATTGTTGGTCACATTATGTATTTTTCTGTCTAAGTGAGACCTTAATTCATACAAATAGAAAGCAAAAGTAAGTTAAAACCTCTTTCCTTTCCACGACGGTCCGGCAGTCTCACCGTTTCTCAGCGCCTCAGTCGCCGTGCAAAGAAAAACGAAGCGCCGCGGTGTCTGGTGAGGCGAACCGACCAATCACAGAGCGGCGGGCGATATGACGTCTCCACACACCACCCAATGTGACGCGACATATAGGAGGAGCTTGGAGCGAAAATGGGCGGGGCTATCACCGCTTATGTGGACTGATGGGCTGGGGAGAGCCGATTCAATTTGTCAAACCGATTCTTTCGAACATTACATTCCGTTATAATGAACCGAACATCAGGTTCTGCGAGTCACTGATTCACAGATGGAGGCCGCTTTGTTCTTATTTCCTCCTTTTATAATGACTTTCGATTCAGCGATTACTCAGTGATTAGTCAAGCGAACTTTCCCCTCGTTTCATTTGCATACAATGAGATTCAAAGAGAGAATCTGGTGTCCAAAAAAGATGGTTCTTCCAAGGTTCGTTAGTAAAGGGAACGGTTCAATTTAGAATCATGAGCTCTATATAGAACCATTTGCGTGTTCAAATGGTTCTTTGCAGGGTGAACTGGTTCTTCAGATTGATAGAGAATGTATTGTGGATGATTCTGTATAGAACACTTTTCAAAAAGGGTTCTATATGGGGTTCTTGTACTGTTGTACGATGTCAAGCTTATGGTGCTATATAGGAGCCTTTTCAAAAATGTTCTATATAGAACAATGTACAGCAGATTCTCCATCAATCTGAAGAACAATTTCACCATGCAAAGAACCAATTAAGCATGAAATAGCTCTATATAGACCTCATTGTTCTATATAGAACCACTGCCTTTTTACTTTATTCACAGAGTTCCTCGCTGTTATAGGTTGGCAGTTGTCTTCACGTTTTTTTCTTCTGTTAATGTATTTAATTAAAAATGTGTTTATCTCTCTTGTCGTCTGTTGTGATGCTAAGCTGATCACTCATAAACATGTCCACTACTGTTAGTTTAATCATTTCCAAATGTAAATAACTAAAATAAATAACTGGCTCATCACACTGATTTATCAGTCTACTCAGGCTTTAGCAGAGCTCAGTAATGCTGAGATTAATAACTGATCACCTTGATTTATCAGTCTACTCAGGCTTTAGCAGAGCTCAGTAACACTGAGATTAATAACTGATCATCACATTGATTTATCAGTCTACTCAGGCTTTAGCAGAGCTCAGTAACACTGAGATTAATAACCGATCACATTGATTTATCAGTCTACTCAGGCTTTAGCAGAGCTCAGTAACACTGAGATTAATAACCGATCATCACATTGATTATCAGTCTACTCAGGCTTTAGCAGAGCTGATTTAAGGATTTATAGAAATTTTCAACTTATTTTAAGTATTTTATTAAGTAAAATTATCTATTTTGGCAGATCATTTTGAATGATTTTAGAAACAATGCTTTAAAAAAGAAAAATGATCTGCCAGTATAGAGATGTAATTTGATACAGAGTAACGGTAATATAGAATTAAAGTATATAGTTCTGACATTAATAAGTAATGAGTAATAAGTAACATACACTCATTACATTTTGGGAGAAGTAATTAGTATTTTTTTCTGTGTAGCTCCTCAACACTGGAGCTCTGGATTCCTGAAAACAATCACTACAATTGCAGCTATTTTAAAAATGTACATTTTTTGGTACATATTTTGGGTTATTTATCATCAACCGGTACAATATATATAATATGTATGTACACAGTGGCCCTTGGATCATGGGGGGTCCTAGGCAGCTGCCTAGAGCAAAGACCGCCCCACAGCTTACAGAAAGAAAACATACATACAAATTATTAGAGGACACTTTTGAGTTCAAACTGTGAAATATTACAGTTCAGATTTCCTCCAGACTTTAACACAGACGTAAATATGGTGTGGTTTGATTCAGTTGAGAGTCAGTTCAGCTGATTTATTGAAAAGAATCAGTTCAAACTGATTCGTTCACACGTTCACGTCTGGCCCAGTGACAAACTGGCGATGCCGAATGTTATCAGAAGCCTGACCTGTAATCTGAGGTCACTGTAACATTACGTCTTGTTTTTTTGGCTCTTCGTCTGTACAGGGCTGCACGTAAAAGTACTGGACAGTCCTATGCACATACTCAATGGTGTTAAAGGGTTTTCTCATAGGGAAATCTGATATATGGCAATATACCCATAAATATATGTATACATATATTGTCATACATGGATTTTTCCCTATATCCAATGTATTTTATGTCACATATGGGCCTATATGTGACATATATCCCAACTTAATTTAAATTGGCCCTATATTAACATACACAAACAAATATGTGTAACACATATATTTAACAATATATGATAAAAAACATTATTCATAAAAAAGAAGACATATGTTATGCATCTTCTTTGTTTCTTCCATTAGACTTTCGAATGAAGTGAACATTCACAGCTGCAGAACTGAACTCTAAACACCTGCACATTGTAAGCTGTGCAATAAAAGCATTAAAACACGAAATAAATACAAATATTGTTCCCTCACACTTTTAAATAATCTAAAATTTAAAAGCAAACAGGTAACAATTAAAACTGTGCTGGGATATTTTCAGCCATATATCCAACACATATGCATGATCCATATATTATGCGCATATATACAACATTTCATACTTACATATACGCACACAACTCCAGCAGCGCTGCTGTGTCTGATCCACTCGTACCAGCACAACACACACTAACACACCACCACCACGTCAGTGTTACTGCAGTGCTGAGAATGATCCACCACCCAAATAGTACCTGCTCTGTGAGGGTCCATGGGGGTCCTGACCACTGAAGAACAGGGTAACAAAGTATCAGAGAAACAGATGGACTACAGTCTGTAACTGTAGAACTACAAAGTGCACCTATATAGTAAGTGGAGCTGATAAAATGGACAATGAGTGTAGAAACAAGGAGGTGGTCAGAATGTTATGCCTGATCGGTGTAGATGTACAATATATTGAAATATATGCCTGACCCTTTATGAAGTGTGCATATATGCCCATATGTCAGATTTCTGAATGGGCTACTACACATCAACTAAAATGTTTGGCTTATTGTGGCCAAAACTCTCAGAAAAGCAGGTAAGAGAGGTTAGCAAAGTCAGTGATGGAGCCGCTATGGTTATGCTAAGCTAACTTAGTCAGCTCCTGCTTTTTGGTTGCCCTTAAAACAGCATTCTGGCCTAAAACTTGGAGTGAATTATAAATTGTCATGTAATGCAGTGATCGTTAGCTCAGCATTATATCCCTCAGCCTCACTGCCCAGATAGTAAGAGGATAGTGGGTCATTTTTGGCCCACTAACAGCAAAGCTAGTGGCCCCCTGGCTTTTTGCTTAGCGTTTTCCAGGCAGTCCACTGGTTTTTAAGTCACTTTTAATCACTCATTTTCCACTCATGGTCCAATTTACTTATTTTTTCTTTTTTTCTTTCTTTTGTCTTCCTTTGTAAATTAGTTTAGGATATAATTGTAGCAGTAATGTCACAAATAATGCCAGTTATACAGCTGTAACCAATCTCACAGTGTCAGCAACAACTAAATCATTTGATATTAGGCTGAGTGATTGTTTTTTTCTCATTAGTTTGTAGTATTTGTCTTAGTTTATTTTCCAAAATAAAAGTTTTCATCAGCGTTCTCTCACTACAATACCCAGGTTGCATTTTGCAATTACGTCAGAACTAGGCTGGTCAGCTAGCTAACAGGCTAAAAGATAGAGCCTAAACTCCATTATTAATATCACAGGCTAGAATTGAAGCACCTACAATAGGACTTACTGTAAAAAGGCAGTATAAAAGTCTAAAAAAAGTCACTTTAATGGATTACATGCTTCAAATGTCTATAGCTACGCTCACATTACAAGCCTCATTGCTCAAATCCGATCTCTGTGACACGATGGTTCACACTCGTTTAGGTAAGTGACTCAAATCTGTCATTAATGTGACGAACCGGCGTCCTGAAATGACCCTCATGAGCTCATCCTACTCAGTAACGTCACGTGAATGAATCACATTCATCATCAGCACAAACTAACGAGCAGAACGAGCTTCGCTGAGAAGATCATTAACTCTGATCAGCTCTCAGCTTCATTATTAGAGCGAGACGAAGGAGAAAAAGGTGAGATGAGCTGCTTTTCCACTGTTTACAGGCTTTAACTTCTGTTCGGCGCTGCTGCCATGGTAACGCTGAATGATGGCGCAGCGCAGTGGAAAAAAAAGCACATGAACTCTGATCTGAGCGTCACATTAAGGTCACATGGCCACGAATCGGACACGTATCCGATCTAGGATCACATATGAAAGTGGCTCAGGTCGGATTTGAAAAGATCAGATTTGCGTGTCCACACAGCCCTGAAAACATCAGATCTGAGTCACATTAGGGCAAAAAATCGGATTTGTGCCACTTTAACCTGGTAATGTGAACGTATCCTATGTTTCAGTCAGAAGTTGCATCAAACTCTCAAACTCTTATTGCTTTAATATATATGACAGTGAGTGACAGTCTGTAGAGGGTGTGCAGTGAGTACAGTAAGTGCAGAGTGACTGATGCTTTATATGGGTCTCATATAAAGGTGAGGGTGAGATGGGGATTGTTCATATGAGTCAATGAGTTCAGGTGAGCTCAGTGAGTGCAGGCTACTACATGACCAGTACGCTGCGTAGCTATTGGCTGTTCAGCAGTCTCATGGCCTAAAAAAAGAAGCTGTCCTGGAATCAGCTGGTTACATCATCATAAGGGGGGGTTGTAGTCTTTAACTCCTTACATGGCCAAAAGCTTTATTACACACTTCTATAACCTAAGAATAGGTCAAACCATTCGCATTCCCTCTTGTTACTGAATAATAAGCCTTAGTATGTAAGAAGCCTGGGATTTTAAGGGTTAAACCAACATAATCTCGCTCCAAAGACCGCTGCATGCTTGTATGTATGTTTACAACAAATGTAGTGATGGTTAAATTCTTCACTTTTTGTCAGAGTGCCCCTTTAAGGTAGCGGTCAGTGGAAGGGCAGAGATA